CCATCCATCCATCCATCTATTTTTTGCCATCGTGTTCTCCTCGCGGCCATCGACATCGATCATAGTGCTGAGGATAACTTCGAGGAGTGATCGGTTCGATGTAGCATCGTTGCATAGTCTTGTCATCTTCGATTTTCCCAAGTGCGTAGATGGTGTTGAAGTTTGTTCGTCGTTTCAGACGTGTTAGGAACAGCTGACACAATCAAACGGAGAGCTCCCGAGAGCACTATCGCCAACTCGCAAGTGACCACTTCTTGAAGGACCCTCGGGTTGACTTTCCACCCGACATCGTACTATCTCCTGTACAGCCACACAAGGTGACGGAGACTGTAGCACAGTCCAAGCTTCGACGCCACAGCCCTTGTCGTTTGTCATCGTCCCGGGCACCGGAACGGGCGCATGGCAGAAGTTCGCGTGAACGTACATGTCATTTGTCAGTAGTATCCCGCTGCTGGTGGTCATGCTGTCACAGACGCATTCTGCAGAATGCTTGAAGGCCTCGTGCGGGAGGTGTCCTGAGTTGTCACTCCTGCCCCTGGCACATTTCAATCGAACTCAAGGACTTGATCTGGTAAGAACTGGGCATCAGATCACAGCGCAGTTTCCAGCGAGAAAGGATCCCAGCCCCTCTTCTACGTTTCATAGGTCTTCGCACAGTGAAACAGGTTGGAGGTGCGCCGGAGTCTTACTGCCCAAGTAAAGCATGTTAAAGCTGCGGGGGGGGGGGGGGGGGGNNACGGAGGGTTGATAGTGACTGATTTTATTACAGCAATTGAAGCTTCGAAAACACAATGCAGATTGCAAGCAATGACAGGCCGGAAATGGGGGCTGTTTGGACCCCAGCTGCTACAGAGGGAGAAGTTATTGCATGCTGTTCTGTTGTATCGCGCTCCCGCCTCGTCCCACAGACTTTGATACGCAATCCTTGATGAGCAATCTCTCAAGTCTCGGAGTGTTAAGCAGCCTCCCTATACTCTGTCCTGCCAAAAAGTTACTACCTGAGTCGCAAGGCCTTCCCTGGGTGGTTTGCCCCTGGCCAACAGCCAGGCACAGGGGGAGAGGGTGCTGCGCACAACTGTCTCGGTCTCGATCCTCCGTAACTGAGCGAACCCTAAACCCCTAAACCCTAAACCCAACAGGCTCATTTCTCAAAAAAACCCAACAGGCTCATACAGATACAGCATGCTGGCCAATTTCGAATCGAACCCGAAGCCTGACCAAGCTGAAATACCACGTCAGATGCATAAAGCCCGTGAACACCTCGATCCCCCCAGGTATGGTGCGGCCGTTTCCTTGCGGCTACCCGAGCCAGGCGGACGGATGCTCGTTTTCGTTGTGTGGTTGTCAGGGTGTGTATATTTGGGGTGGTTACTGTCTGGTTGCTGTCTGTGTGTGTCTTGTATTGCTTCTGTTTTCGGCGGGGGTCGGGCTACAATCTCCAGCGGCGCTTGGATTGTGTTGCTCGGGAAGCCAGAGTCTTGTGGCTCTAGGTTCTACCAGTGGGGTCTTGGATTCTATCGTTCTCTTGCTCGTCGGTTCATGGCTTTCGAGCTGGAGTGCCCTGTATCGGTCTACAAGACACGCGAAGGTCAGGGTGTCGCCTCCCTTGACAGGACGCGCCGAGTGGAAGCCCCGCCCCTCAGACGCAGGCACGATGTGAGTTTGGTGGCTCTGAGCTCCTGCTCCACGAGAAGCTCGAAGCCCATGCTGTCGCTTTCATGCCGGATTTGCATGACAACTCTGACATGTCAATACATGTCAGATGTTGCACTCGTCTGCAGGGTGCGCCACTGGCTCCAGGCCAGGCAGGCCAGCAAGCCAGCAGGCACGTGGGCGCGGTGAAGATCCCTGCCTTTCAGAAACTTCCAGATGGCCGTGATTTGTCGTGAACCTCGTGCGGATGACATAGTGCATCCCGTGTGCGCTTTGCGCTGAGTTGCAAACCGGCGAGGGAATCCGCTCAGACTTCGTTTCTCGTTCAGGCCGAGCGGCGATCTCCAAGCAGCCGAGACGGCCACGCCGATCCGTTAGCAAGAAGCGAAGACGCGTCCAATTCTGCCAATCCCTTTCGACAGAAATTGCCTGCTTTTCGGCTTGGGTTGGTACACAGAGACTTCGATCTCGGGGCGCAAGGGCCGCAACGGAAGCCGGAACATGCTTGAGCCTTCTCCTCAACAAAAAGTACCGAGGCGGGGTGAGAACAAGGTGATGTACTCCGTGAAGAACACGTTCCTTCACATCGACGAGCCGGAAGAGCAGGCTACTGCGCAAGCCCGTGTCCGAGGCTTCAGGAATTCCGTAGCAGGTGCCTCCGCTACTCGGAGCTGGCTTGTCGATGCTAGCCTCAAGCTAGTGTAGGGCGAATCCGAATACAAATCCATGCACATCCAAAGCAGCTACAGCCACAGCAGGCATCGGTTGCGCAACATTTAAAACTTGTCCCTGCCCTGCTTCTGCATAAGTTCCTGTTTTCACCTTTCCTCAATCCGCTTTCGCAGCATGAACCGCAACGTCGACGAAAACAATCTGAACATACAAGCCGTTCAGGGCTACGACAAGCCAAACAACTCGGCCTTCCTAATTCCACCTCTGCAGCTCTGCCAGCTCTTCTACAGCGACAATTATGTAGGGTTTCCTTTCCGAATCACGGCTGATAGACGGCCCGAGAGCCGCCGTACAGGAGGAAGATCCGCAGCTGGGGGCTTCGGGGCCCTGGGCCTCGGAGGCCCGAGGGCGGCTTGGGGTGTTCTCCCCGTAAAGGCCTCGGGGACGGGGTCCCCTTCCTTGTCAAGGAATCCCGTGACGGATGATATGAGAGATGCTAGGGGGAAGAGATGCACGTGGGCCCTTCTCTGAGCTCGATTCTCATGCAGTGCTGTCAGTGTGCCACTTCTCACTGCGCTCCAAATGCAAAGAAACTGGAATCAAAGTATCTCAGTCTGTGAGTTGATCAAACCCCTGTGAACCGTGAGCACAGTGACCAGCACACAACCCCAAATGCCTCAGCCTAAGCACAGTGCGAGCCAAGTTAAGAGCCTGAAATCAATTGAAGGCTTCGTCATCGAATCGCACCATCTGCAGCCACCCATCTAGTCTGAGTGATTAGAGCCAAGGGAGCCTTCAGACTTTTGTCTAGGCAGCAAGTGTCCTCTGAAGACATTCCAGGATGCCAGCCAAACCTGCCAGGATGCACGCCAAAGTTTGCCTTGCATCCTCGCAGGTTAGTTCAAGTGCAAGGCTTATCACTTCGTCCTGAGTGGTTCGGACAAACTCATTCTGATGCGTTAGTCTGAGGGAAGTCCGACTATAATAATAATAATAACAATAATAATAAGAAGAAGGTCTAGGTTATCCGCAGTCACGTGTATGAGAGGCATGAGAGAATTCGTGCCCCTCAACAGCTCACAGACCAAAGGCAGGGACTAAGCTGAGCATTTGCTTGCCAAGCCTCGCATCAAGGAACTGCAGCCACAGCATCAGCAACACAAAGCCGAAGACGCCTGGTGCTGTCATGGCACCGGTGGCTTCTAATATGTTCAACCTTGAGAATTACGAAGGTTGAGCAGAGAGTGGTCCGTCTTGACACGCAAGCTACTCCTGGTCAGCAGATGAGCCAAGCATGGTCTGGACCGCGAAGTCTGGTAGGCGACAGCACAAGAAAGGTTCGTGGAACTGCTAGCATGTCCTTTTTTGTAACGACAAAAGACACAGAGGGGGACGACAAATCGTTGGGCGTTGGGGTGCCGGCGACAATGGAGCAAAGCTCGGTTGGCTTTGTCGAATGATGTTGCTTTGTGGCAGGATGCCATCTGCCCCACAAGAGAGTCTGTCCGAGTGTGTCTGTAAAGCAACTCCACTCGTTACATCCCCTTGCATTGGCATTTTCTGGCGCTGCAGGAGGGTTTGGGCGAGCCGCTGCCGTTCCTGCCCAAGGACCGTCCACACGAAACATTTGGGGGGCCTCAGATGTTTCGTGGCATCAAGATGCATTGCTGTAACGCGTGCTCACAGTTCACCAGGACATCGAATTGACCGAACTGCAAGCGTTCCGTGCCGACTACATGAAGTTTCGCGCTGGTCAGGTGGGAATCAAGTGGGCAAACACCGCAAGCTTTCGCAGATTTTTGCTCCTCTCTGGCTCAAACTTCTGCCGCACGCGTCATGGTTATATAGCTGCCACCGAGTTGGCAGGCCACTGGCGCGCGTGGAGAGATCCAGGATGTACCTGAGGCACGATCTCGCGCTGATCCACGCACTTTCGTGTTTTCTTTTGTTTGAGCTGCCGCGCATGCCGGCACGGTCAGTGTCGGCAGGTCCCTCTGGCTTCCGAGTCCACTATTGGAGCCCTGGACCTCCAGCAGTCAGGGTGGGAGCATCTCTTCATGTTGTGCCGCTTGTGCCGTCACTTCCGTGCGGCTTAGAGTTGAACACGAAGCGAGTGGACCTGCGAGCAGGCAGTATCCGGTCCCCTTTGCCGGCCAGCCGATGTTCAGCCCCAAGCGTGGAAGCCTGCGGTATGAATGCCCCGGGCTGTTTGGCTCTCTGTGTGTGTGCATGCGAGCTTGTCGAGGCCGGAAGGGTGATGGGGGCTCATCGCTTGCAGGCCAGAGCCCTTTGCTGGCATTTTGTGGGGTCTCCGGATGTCGTCACAGGTTCCAGAAACCTTCCTGATGACATCCTGGCAAAACCGTCCAGGCGGACTCTCAAAAGGATGCCAGCTGAAGTCGTGTGTACAGTGGTTGCCCGCCACTCTGGACCTGATTGCAGCTAAGAGCCTAAGAGCCCAAGAATTAGAATACGGGAGAAAGGCGGAGGCTGTGGCGGGCCATGGGCGGCTTCCAAGCGCGACTATCTTAGCAATTCGAAGGTTCTTTCCCCCAATACTGGCAAGCTGGCATACCCGTAAACAAAAGAACCTTAGCGTAGCGAAGGATCCAGTCTCACCACTGCGACACAAGGCGATCCGTGATGCACTAGGATTCCCCGAAAAGAAGTTGGCGAATAAGTAAATACATGGACGTAGTTTCATGGCTTTTGGCGGATCTGCTTTGCTGGTCGCAATTTTTCATCCCTACTGCGTCTCTGTCTTCGGACCCACAGACCGAGGACTGTATGAGGTGAGAGAGGGGAAAAAGCAGCACGGCTTTCGGCATGCCTTCAGACCTGCAGCGCAGCTCCTCGACGTCCGTGCGGCCAGGTACGCCATCAATGCCTTTGCCGGTTTGGCGGAAAAGACGACGAGGAAGCCAGAAAAGCAGCACCTTAGCATGGTCCGTATTGACAAGACAGCGGGCACTCAGACAGACGTAGTAAGATGTTCCTCGGCCTGCACGTTTCATGCAATGCCAACGCTCTTTCGCAAGTCAAGATCCTCCAAGCCGCCATGTCTGCCGAAAGCAATACGCTATTCCGAGCAAACTACGCTGACAGAATAGTTATCCATGAGAGAAATGCTTGTAGACCAGCATGATTCGACTAGATGCTTTCCTGCCACAAACTCACTTGATCTGGACTTTCCAGCTCTCTGACTTAAACCTTTTGTTGGGCCGCGATGGCGGATCGACTTGCGCCAATTACAGCCCCGAACCTGGGATCACCGTCATTTAAGGTGTCCGTTCTTTAGGGTCAGCACAATGCTGGTGCAGAGCACCACGGATGCACACATCGGCTCTGGGTATGCTGTTGCCATGCAGGCGAAGTGTTGAAGTGTTGAGTGTTTTCACTGGCAGGGCCGGGCTCTGGGAAGTTTCTGCACTGAGGCTTTTGCGACCAGCCGACGGCACCAGCTGATTGTCATCTCATGCTACACGCGCCCGGGGCTGAGCTTAGGAGCTCTGTCCGAAGGCGTTCGAAGCTGGGCCTACTGCAGCCAGGTTTCGACAACTTGGCACATGGTCCCCGGGGCAAAGAGGCCAAGAAGAGGCCGAAGCATGTGAGCGGAGTCGAGTCGTGCCTGCCGAGATAAACCATCTTTTCTCGCTAAAAGGTGCTTGCAAGTCAAGTGACTCCTGTCTTTTTCCCCTATGCGGCAGTATGCAAAGACTCCCCTGGCCTCAGCCTCTACACCTTTTGGATGGACACCAGTGACGGCCAGCTGGTGCTGCTGTCAGTGGTCCAGGCCCTCCAGTGTTTCCGGTCTCTGCAGTCTTGATTTGTGGGAGCTGGGCTGCGTGTCCAACCTAAAATGGGCAGCCCTGACGTGGGCGTTTTCCATCCTGGGTAGACCTGCTACCGGTGTGACGTTGGCTCGACGACTTGAAGCGGTCAGTGGTGTTTGTACACGAAGACGGAAGACTGCAGAGCTCAGGAGGATTGCATGAACCCGGCCTTTTCGCGCTGGCACCCAAGGCCGGCCAGATCCCTGCACCCGGCGCGTCTCGCGCCAGTATGCGCCAGTGTCTCTGTCAGGAAAAATGTCATGTACACCTGCAGCGAGCTCGGGAGATGATTCTCAGTGTGGCCTGCTGAGAGCTGCGCTTCAGGCACGGAGTCGGTTGCGGAAAACGGCAAGATCGATGCCTGGAGCGCCGGCCCCCTCAGCTGCAGACACCAGTTTGTGCGAGAGTCGACGACTTGACTCTGTGCCGTGCCAGTCTGAGCTGCAAATGGGGCAAACAGACACTGTCAGGTGAATCCGAAGACTGGGCAGCTCGCCAACATCGGCAGCTTCGATGCGCGGGGGCAGAGCTTCTGAAGGATTTGGGCCGCCTCTGGCCCCCCCAAGACCTTTGCTTCAGGCTGGGGGGACCTCCACGTGCTACATCACCTTGGACAAGGCCAGGCCCCTGAAAGGGCGGAAACAGCTAGCCGATGGTTTCGCCGTGATGATGGTGATGCAGACAACGATGAAGGTGAAGCTGAAGATGAAGTCAAGATGCTGACGGATACAAAGGCGATGATACTGGTAATCGTGTCCCCGCTGCTACCCCCGGGCTTCTTTGGAGTCATACATCCCTCTGGAAAGATTTCAGCCACAGCTGAAACGCATATGACATATACACAATGTATATATGATATATGATATATGATATATGTAT